CACCAGCCGCTCCTTCGTCGAATCCGCCGGCCGTGCCATTCTCAAGCCCGCCCGCCACCGCTCACTCTAGCCGCCAGCCTCCGCTCACTAAGCCGCTGTGTGTGACGCTGTGTTTCATTGTGAAAGCGAAACTACTTTCTAGACTCATTTCGTATACGTGGACTCATGAATATGCAAATTAGTCCCCGCCTCCACTCAATCACAGCAGCTCAGACCTGCTCCACTTTCACCCAAATGATGAATTTGCACATGGTTTGTCTTTAATCATGTTAAAAACACCAAAATTACATGTAAACAATGTTGAAAACTTGATTTTCACCACATAAAATCAAACTTCCCACAGCAGGATATCCAGAGGTCGACAAAGAGCAGACGCATTTTCTCAAGATGCTATTTCAGTTTTCTTTTCTAGAACATTTTGTTAACCTATAAAACAGTCTGGAATGCATCAGCTTCAAGTGCAATGCACTTCAAACAGTGCCAGGAGAAAGCAGAATGCATATCTTCTTGACAAGCACAAAAGATATTACCCGTGCAATAAAAAAAAATCATTATCCTGGCAATAAAATATGTCGGCATGATGTCTAATCTCAAAATGCATGATAAATGCAAAAAAGTGTGCTTATGAAATATGAAGTGACCTTAAAGGGGTCATATGATGCGATTTCAATTTTTCCTTTCTCTTTGAAGTGTTACAAGCTCTTGGTGCATAAAGATAATGCCATGTCAGCATCTTAGGCTATTTTCACGGCAAAAACTGCAATATGTGGAACAAACAAACTAATTAAACATACTTAACCAGCAAGACAATATGTCTGGTCATAATTCAGCATCCAACAATACACCAGAAATCATTTCTATAAAGCCTAATGCAAACTACAAGACAGAAGTTTATCGAATCTGTCTACCAACTAAAGGGTGCATTCATTATTTTATTTTTATTTTTTAAATACAGAAATCGTACTTCATCTATGCTAAGCTTAACTTGGCACAATATCTTTGCGTACTTTCCAACATTCAAAGGCAACAGAAGTTTGAAACACTTGGACACAAGACGTCTGGCATGATTTCTGCTTAGCTCAACCAGGTTTACAGTTAATTAGCTAAAATCAATCATCTGTTGACAGATTCCTACTTCTTTGAAAGGCAAAAGACATTGGCTCATTAATGCTGAATGATTATCAAACTAGAGGTCCCTTAATAATATGCTGGAAAACCAGATTTCCAGTGGTCCTATTATAGCAATAAAGCAGGGTGGGCGATGGATTTTCTTTTGTTTTGATGGTTCCCAAAAGAGCAGTGAACGTTTGCACGGCTGCAGCGCGATATAAATCAATGCAACAGGGCTGTAATCAACACTCTACACTTTGGTGAAAAGATTTAACATGCACACAAACCCTCAGACATCATCATCACCATCAACACTATCATCATCATCAGGAAACACAAAAACCGTAATCTCACCTGCGCGTAATCTCTCTCCAGCGTGGCCTTTTTCTGGCTGTAGGTTCTGCAATTAGAAAGAAAAACACAGTGTAAAACTTCAAGACAACACAAAAGAATAACAATCAGCTTACATTTGAGTATTTTAGCACTTCCAGTTCCACTGACCTGAAGTCAATGGGTTTTTGGTTAAAGGGGTGGTTCACTGGGTTTTTTCTAGGCTTGATTGTGTTTATGGGGTGCAGTCTAACGTGATAATGTTTCGTTTTTAAAAAAACGCATTATTTTTCACATAATTTACCTTTATTCCACACTGCTCTGTCCCTTCTCTGAGAAACGGGCTGATCTTTTCTGAAATAATGTCTGTGTTTATCACAAGCTCAAGATATCTTCATCTTTTATTCTACATCATAAAATATCTCAGAAAAACCCCTTGTGAGTTTTAAAAGCTTTTACTTGTCACGAAAAAGGTAAACAAGTATCTAAATGAGAGTACAGAGGTTGTCGGGGGAAATTAAACATCACACCAAACAGGTATAAACTCATTTACTCAATAGTCGTTTTCTCAGCCTCGTTGATCACATAATTGCACTCATGCAAACTATTCTAACTCATACTTTCAATAAAATGTTTTTAAATAAAAACTGAAAGCTTAATGCTTAAAGTTTATATCCTACATTTAGCTTTACTTCTGGCGATCATATTTAGGCTTCAAAATTAAAGTCGAGTTCATGTTCATTTGTGAAGATGATGATCATGCTGAACAAAACGTGCAAGAATCATAAACCTTTGCTGGTCACATAGCCTATTTTCTGCAATAATCCAAAAACCAATGGAAAAATCATATTGGGTTGTTTTTTCTTTTTTTGTTGTTGTTGTTGAGGGAAATGGGGTGATGCAAACTTCAATTTTTGTCAATTTTTGTGAACAGATTATGTTTTTGTCTTAAAGTCATTATTTTAAGTCTTAAAAAAGATTATTAAAGTATGTTTTACAAGAAAATATTATTTCCATCTTTCTACTTCAAAAATCCATGTTTAATTCAATGTTACTTGCCATTTCAATTATGTGCAAAATTGTGCAATTTCTGAGTGAAAATTGTTTCAAAGTAAACCCTACACCATTGTTTTCAGTGCAGATTTGAATAACATTCACAATAAGACCAAAAATATGCATAAAGAATGTAAACAGGGTCGGTTTTGGTTTCATGCTGAATTTAAATCATAACGCAAGATCACAAGGGTCACAGATGTGATTTTTGAAGTTCAAACTCTCTGAGCAGCAAGAGTTCTTCATCTCCCTCACACATCAGACCATGAGTTGGCCGTGGAGATGGTGTTTTTAACATTCTTCCTGGTATGACTGGTTTGCTTTTCGAGCCAGAGGGCAGGAGGCATCCAGACAGCTGATGGTTTGAGAGCAACGCATCTCCCTTCGCTGCATTACAAATGAGTACAATCTGAGTCAAGATGCCGAAAAACCATCAAGATACTGTTTTGTTTTGCTTTTCCCATAATCCCATCCCTTTGCTGCACCCTCTGATTTTAATTTCAAATCAGTTAAACTCGTTGCATGTGTTTTCAAACTCACAAAGGAAGGTTGTAGTGGGGACTGTCCTATCCTACGGGTGGCGGTTCATGTTTACGGGATTAGTGCGTGTGCGTATGTGGACTCTGTGACATTGCTTTTATGCAAGACAGGAATTTCCGCACCTCCCCCTCCCCACAGAAATACTTCCAAATACGCAGGAAACCAAACTACAGGATCCCTCTGTGGCCCGGACTCAGAGTCCTATCAAAACAGGCCGAGATGCTTACATAGCGCCACAGTTTATGGGGGAAGAGGTTTCGTGTGGTATGTCGCACATGCTTGCTCATCGCTTTTCACTTTCCGAGGGTCTGTGGGCCAGCGAACACACCTAAGGCATTTCAACCCAGTTCACAGCTACTGTAAAGGCTTCTTCGGAGACGCCTTTATCTGCTGCACATTTACACTGCACTATACAAAATGTCAATAGTCGACATCAATGCAGCGAAATTCTAATTTTACAGCAATAACAACAAACGTGCGAATTATTTTGGTAACACTTTCCAATGCAGTTCCATTTGTTAACAGTAGTTAATTTAGTAAATTAGTTAATAGTATTAGTTAACATGAACTAACAATGACAAGTACTTCTAAAGCACTTTGTTATTTCCAAAATGTACTAATGCAAGAAAAGAAAAATAACGACTTTATTCAACAATTCGTCTCCTCCTGTAGTGCCCATTTATAGATGCCACTTGTGTAGATATCGACAGGCTATATGCATTCCTTTTTTCCCTCTAATAAACACATTTACAGTGGCACTACAGGATGAGACGAATTGTTGAATAAAGTCATTATTTTTGTTTTCTTTGCGTACAAAATATTCTCGTCGCTTCATAAAATTCAGATTGAACCACTGATGGCAGATGGACTATTTTGACAATGTCTTTCATAATTTTCTGGGCCTTGACAGTGTTATTTACTTGGCAGTCAATGAGACAGTCACAAGCTTCCCAGTTTTCATCCAAAATATCTTAAATTGTGTTCCGAAGACGAACAAAGCTTTTACAGGTTTGGAACAACATGGGGGTAAGTGATTAATGACAACATTTTCATTTTGGGGTGGAGTAACACTTTAAGTGCACTGCCCAGGAAGCTGACCATTTCTAGGGCCGTCCCAGTGTCAAAATCAATCCAGTGCACTGACACTCTCACTCGCTAGAAATTCCCAGAATGCATGGGAAAAACCACCGGAAATATTTTCTTAAGTCCCACAAGCTGTCAGAGAAATTTATGAAGCCTAATTTTCTGTCTTTAAAAATAGATTCTGTTTGTAATTATCTTTCATCCCTAATGTGCATGAAAACTTAAGTAATTAGAGTTGTTAGAAGATGATTAAAAATCCTCTTTTGTATTTATATACATTTATGCATGCTCTAAAATGCTTCAATATTTATTAAACATTTGAAACATTTAAAACGGCATTAAGCATGCATCATCTGTTTTGCTAAATTTGAAAAAGGAAGGACAAGTGCATAATATATAATTACATATAGTTAAATAGTATTTTCTTGATAATCTTTATTTAGAACTAGGGAGCAGGATGACACAGCGCAGGAATGTGTGGTCAAGAGGAGCGCTGTGAAAATGAAAATCATCTGGCTCTATGGGTTGAAGAGCACCTGGTGCTAATTTGTACTGTCACTGGTTTCATAAGAGCATGAAGAGGTTGACCTCGAGGTCCAGTACAGCGACACGCAGCCGGGCCTGATGTCTGCCAGATCCCCTCCACTGAAACAACCTTCTTCTTGAACATCAAGGACACAAGCCAAACTATCGCTCGTTTTGTAATTTTTCTGTAGTAAGAGCGTCTGAGTGCTGTTGTCCTGCTAACTGTAAATGTGTTTATTAGAGGGGAAAAAAGGGATGCATATAGCCTGTCGATATCTACACAAGTGGCATCTATAAATTGAAACACGCATCAGATCACGCGTATACACTCTGAGTGACAGACAGAGACGCATTTGCACAAGAGCAGGTGTTACCACACATCCTCTTACTGCAGCAACAACACTCTTTGTTGCAAAAATCAAGTCAACAAATTAATATTTTACTCCTGTATCATAATCCTCAACACAACAATTTGCCACAAATTTCAGCTTGACAAGAAAGCTACATGTTTTTTTGGGGGTTTTTTTTCATTACATGAACTTTTCTTGGAGGGCAACGAAAAATTGCATCACGTGTATGTATATATATAT